TGCTCAAAATGATAATCGCGAGTGCCATAGCGCGGAATATTTGCTCTTATATCTCTCCAAAATCTTTCTATATTTTTTCTATATTTTTTCTATCTTTTTATATTTAAAACGAGAGTTCAATCATCAAACTTTTTTTGTTCATAACTGTTTTATAAACAATGAGCGACGGATAAAACCTTCATATTATTATTCAGGGAGGTGACCTTGATAACATATGTCAAAATTGTTGAGATCGGAAAATAGTCCGTATAACTGCATAATTACCATATTTTTATTTAAGTTCTAACAAATATAAATTGATTTTTTTATTGATTTTTGAATTGTGAATATCGAAAAATTTATTGAGCGCAAGATTCTGTGAGCGAAAGAAACCATCAAGAATAGTGAATATAAGGTCGATACGAGCAATAAATACAAGGTAAACGTGTATGATAAATGATATTTATTTGATAAGACCAGACGTTTCGGTTCGTGTGTTTGAACCTTCTTCAGTGAAATAACAAAAAGATCTAAACAAAGAGTTAAATATATAAACGCAAATTCTTTACAATACAAAAAAAATCTCGTAATAAAAACTTACGCAGAATAGATAACTCGTGAGCTCACAGCATTCTCTATGTGTTTGAAACCACAACTGGAAATTAAATTCAGGAACTGTGCGCTAACGAGAAACCTTTACACAGTATATATATAGAGATATCCTTACTTATAGTATACGTCTAATCATGTCAATAACCCAATGACAAAACAACATAAACATTGTCTGGTCTTATCAAATAAATATCATTTATCATACACGTTTACCTTGTATTTATTGCTCGTATCGGCTTTATATTCACTATATTGAAATTTTTACGAGCGGAACATATTTTTATAAAATATCGCACACAATTTCAAAATTTGGTGACAACGGGAGATGGAAATATGTTAGCTTATAGAAGTCTCAATAAATTGAATCGATTTATCAAAAATATCAAAGATCCTATAGATATTGAACGAAAAAACGTAGTTTAGAAGTTGCAATGTAATGATTGCGATGCTTCGTACGTAGGCTATGAGACAACTCAAGACTAAGGTTTCCGAACACAAAAATCAAATTAATCGTCGCGTGGAGAAATTTTCCGTAGTCACACAGCATAGAATTGACACTGACCACAATTTCAATTGGCAAAATGTCAAAGTCTTGAACACAGAATCTTCCTTTTTCAAGAGATCCATTTTCGAGATGATACACATCAAATTACAAAGCAATTTAATTAACGTCATGTCGGACACGGACAAGCTGAAACCATATTTTTCATTTTTGGAAAATTACAAGGCGACTTAGTTTGGTTAAGGCGATGTGGTGGGGATAAGACCGTTACATATATCTTGAATATAGAAGGATTAGAAGGGGCCACTCAGTCTGTCAGTTACATTCGAAGCGGGAGGACGTTTTGCGTTCTGTTGCGTAATACTGACGGTTACGTGACTGCCATTTCCGCCTCTCTTTTTCTCATACCGAATATCCATGTAGCGTATCTTTTCTTATCCATAATCTTCATGATTTTGAATGGATCATTATTTTTGTAAGTTTTTATTAGAACACTGAAGAAGATTTCATAGTGGATCGAAACGTTTGTTAAAACTTTTTTAAAATCTTAGAATTATAAAATAATTGTACCCGAACATCTGGTGTTAGCTTGTTATTGCCATTTCCTTAATTCTTTTTATTTTAATATTCAACAAGCTGAAAACATATAATTGATATAAATGTACTTGTAAACGTATAATTCAAGCTTTAGTTCTGTTACGTCCT